TTGAAAAGAGAGATGAAAGATTCAACTTTTTTTTTACACTTGTGAGGATAGTATATGTTGAGAATTTGCAAAAAAAAAAATTTCTTACAAAAGATATCCATAGTGCAACAACTAAAAAAAAAATATTGGAACATCCATGGAAAGTCTTAAGGCTAAGCTAGAAACAAAGAAGTTCAATCAAAAAGGTAGGTTGTCTCCATTCTCAATACAAAAACTATTTGGGAACATCAAATCCTATAGTGTAAGAGAAATAAATATAACTGATAATAGTCATGCAAAAGTTTAATTAAATCAGGTCAGAGATTGTATATAGATAAAGAAGCTACATAAATAGAAAATAGACAATATCAAAAGTTAGCTGAGAAACTACTCTACATATAACGCACCTACCTTGACATTGCTTTTGCGGTAATTCTCATAAATCAATTCCTTCAAAAACTAAAATAATCTCACTTTCAAGCTGCTTGGAAAGTTCTCACATAATTTAAAATAAGGTTTCGTTTGAGACGATTTTCTTACTGTTTTTTAAAGTAACTTTCTAGCACAAATTTTTTTTTTTTAAAACTAAAAAGCAGTAAGAAAGCCGTCCCAAACAAAGCCTAAATCTAGAAAAATGGATTCTCTAAAAATGCTATGATACCCTACAACTTGAAGGTTATGCTGATGGCTGACTATATGGGATTACCACTTGATAAGAGATTCACTTCATAATATTATACACTTAAAGGAAGAAATCCAATAACATGAGGAGCAAGAAACAACATTTTTTTTTCAGAATCCAATGGGAATCTAAATTCAAAGTAATTGCCTAAGGTATTTACAAACTTTTATAGATTAAAATCATTTTAGGTGATTATGATGGGGAAACAAACCTGAAATATATCAAGCACATAAGAAACTACAAGAAAGAAAAAGTGAACCTATGAAAAAACAAGCATTCAATTATTTAAAGAACCATTGAAAGGGTTTGCTAATTAGAAACCCAACTGCATGAAGTTAAAATAGAATACTCCAATCTCGAGTTAAGAAAATGAAGATATTCAATTCTGACCAGGCAAGGCACATCAAAGCTAACATTACTTCTGTAAAATTAATGGAGGATTCAAATAAATTAATGAAAGTGTTTAGTAAAAATCGAACCTTGTGTTGGGGATGTCTTGCTATCTATAACCCTGGGCTCGTTGGGAGAAGCTGCCACCATGAAAGATGATATCTTGCTTGCCCTAAGGCCCACCACATCAGAATGAATACCCATATCAATCAAATCTGTCCGAGTTTGGGGCCAATTTCTCTGCTCCTTGGATCGCTGTAGATATCTGTGGAAAGTACGAGTTGGATTGATTTAACGTATTCTTGGCACGAGAAAAAAAAAAAACCCGGCCGAACAAGCGCGGTGAGATCTTTCGTTATCTTAGCAGCAAGCTCCCCGCGCGACTTGCAATCCGACAGGAAACGTAGGAGGAAGCGGAGAAGCTTAGAACGCTAAGCAGAACAGCAACGAAAAAATGCAGAAGAGAATGGGAAAAGCAAATCCTAGACAGGCAAAGGCTCTATTGAGTGGCTCGAAGCTTCCGTTTGTGCGTTATAAATAGGGAAAAGCAAACCTAACCGCCTCAGGCAGGAATGAAAAGGAGATCGCAAACCGCCCGTCACTCCGACGACAAAACCGCTCCGCTTCTACCTATTTAGGTTTGTTTGGTTTAAAAGTTGTTATTGAGCAAATATTGTTTAAATAAATTAGTGGTTTTAAGATTACGATTATTTTTATTTTTTTTTAATTGTTTATGTATATATAAAAATATATATAAATTATTTGATTGTGTTATCAGCAATAGGGAACAAATTGATAATTTTTAAATTATTCTTAAACATTTAATGGTGATTTTTTATTTACTTTTATGTTTAATAGTTTATAGTAAGGTAATATTTTGATCTTTAAAAAATATTAATATTTATTTTAATAACTCATCAAATTTATATTATATTAGTTGCATTAGATATAAATTAATAATCATTTTGTTTCATCTTAAATATATATTAGGAGATAGAAGGAATTTTTTGGCTTAATAAACTTTTTAATAATGTTTTGAAGACTAAAAAGATGTCAAACGAGTAGAGATTGAGTGTGTTAATTTATATTTTTAAGAATAAAGATTATGAACAAAATTGTGCTAACTATAAAGGAATTAAGTTAATGTGTCATACTTTAAAACTATGGGAGCGAGTTATGAAGCATAGGTTGCGGAGTGATACCTAAGGTTTCTCAAAATCAATTTGGATTCAAGCCAGATAGGTTTACTATGGAAGCCATACATTTATTGAGAGGCTTGATGAAGAAACATAGAGAGAATAAGGAGGATCTACATATGATATTTATTGATTTAGAGATAGCATATGATAAAGTTACAAGAGAAGCGATAGGGAGAGCTCTTGAAAAGAAAGGAGTTAATATCGCTTATATTCAAATCATTAAAGATATGTACGCATGAGTTATTACTTGTGTTCAAACATAAGGTTGT